GAGCTTTTATTATGCCACAGTCGACCGCTTCCGCTCCTTCCGGTCGTGCGTATGTGGGGTAAAGCAGCGGAGCTTTTATTATGCCACAGTCGACCGCTTCCGCTCCTTCCGGTCATGCGTATGTGGGGAAAAAGAGCAGCGTTGTTTTATCATACTAGATACATTTGAAAGTTCTGTTATTATGCTACTCTGTGCAGTCGTCACCGGTCTAATAAAACGCACAACATATTAAAGCGTCTTTGGTGTTTCCATGTTTTCTAGAAAACAAAACCAGAAATCGAGGGGTTATGACGTCATTAGCAGGCGACACAATGACACTATGGACACGCTCTGTGTCACTAGTTAAAATTGCTTATTTCTCTGGATTTAAACATTCTTCGAATCATTTGGGATAGTGCAAGTACACAAGTCAGCAAAATATATAACACTGTTCTAGTGGTTTTTGGATATTTTAATTAAAAAAATCTTACATATTGTGCCTTTAATAGCCAACCAGTGCAATAATATAAGTGCTGCAGCGTAATTTGCCAAATGTCCCGCCCCCTCCTCGCCCTCATTGGAGAAAATCAGTTCAAAAAGAAGGCGCGTGACGCTGTAATCCAAGCGATGATAGAAGTAGACGTAGAGGAGTGGGATGACTTTCTTTTAGCCTAATTTTTACAATGTTTTTGTAATGTATTAATTATCACGGGCTGTAATAAAAAACAAGTAGTCCTATACTAATACTAAGAGTAAATATGGTTCGAATAGCCTATATTTTAGTAGGCTATAAATATGTGGCTATGTTACAGCTCCCCTGTGAAGTTATGCAATGCATATTAGCAATGCATATTACTAATCAAAAATTAAGTTTTGATATATTTACAGTAGGAAATTTACAAAATATCTTCATGGAACATGATCTTTACTTAATATCCTAATGATTTTTGGCATAAAAGAAAAATCTATAATTTTGACCCATACAATATATTTTGCCTATTGCTACAAATATACCCCAGCGACTTAAGACTGCTTTTGTGCTCCAGGGTCACAAATCATCAAAAAAATATTGGGCTTGTTTTTGAAGCAGCGGTTGCTTATTTGTGTCGTGAGAGTTGGTAACAGTGTCTGTCTCTTTGCTCCTGCAGCTGCAGATAGCGGATGGACAGACGGATCAGATCTCCAGCGCTCCTCTATCGGTCAGATCCGCATGGATGCGCAAGACCACGACGCATTCGATCCTGTTCAACTTCAGCAGCGTGATGATCGACACGTGCAGAGCACTCAATTACATCAGCAAACACAAAGCTGCACACCGAGCAAAAGACACGAAGAGACCCGCAGACTGGAGCTCCGACAAGAACTCGTTTACCTGACTATCCTATTTATTTATTGATTTTTTGCAGATATTTAATTCAGGGCATGATAATTTAATATATTTATGAGTCTGTGCTTTTAACTTATTGACTGTTGTGCAACATTGATATTTATAAATGCAATATTTATGTGCCAGTACTTTTATTTCCCGTAAATGGGTTTTTCTCATTAGAAAATCAGTGCTGATGAAAATTCATGAACTTGTTTGGTTTATTTGAAACTGAAAAACTGAGACCAACATGCTGACTGTTTACAATCATCTAATTTGATTCAATAAAAAAACAACAAAGAAAGCTCAGTTACATTTTGTGTTTCTCAATGCAATGTTTTAGAAAGAGGAAGCAAAAGTCTTAAAATAACACAAAAAGCTGGGTGAGGTATTTACATCCCAGCACAGCGTCCCATGAGATGCTCGTCTGCGTCTTCATCGGGTTTGTGAATAGGTCTGGGGTTTCTGTCAGGAGCGTCTTCATCCCCAAAGCAAACTGAAAATACAAAAAAACAGTCTTCTTCAGCAGCTCTATGTGCTAAAACACAGAGATCTTCACACGAGCAGCTCACAAAACTCACCTGAGGACCGAGGGTTCAGGCATCCCCGGATCGGCTCCCCGCTTGAATCCTGCGAGAAATAAACACCTTTAAAAACACACGCTTCTACTGAAACCCGCAACAGATTCAGAAGCGGGAACTGGGAATGTCACGAACTGCTCCAGCTCACATCTCATTAAAAATCAACACATAAATTAAAATATTAATTATAATAAATGTAATTACACATGAATGAATAACTACACATATGATGTAATATTTTATTATATATAAATATATATATATATATATAAAACTACACACACACTTCAATTACAATTTTAAAATGTACAAAATAATAAATTATTATATAATTATATAATAACCATTTAAATTATATTAATACATTTTATAAAAAAATATACATAAATATTAATAATAATAAAATTATATGTACATAATTAAAATGTGATTTTCAAATGCATAATATAGTTATAAAATTATATTTAGCCATTTAAATTATATATATATATATACACACAATTTAAAAATGTACAAAATAACAAAATATTTTATTTATTAAGTTTCTATATACAAAGAAAAGTAAAGCAATTTTTCCCCATTACTTTTAGTGTTCCGCATGACTGTAATACTGTATTTTCTCTCATTTCAATCAGCTTAAGAGCAAAACAAGAAATACTACAATCATGAATGAATTAATCTTTTACAATTCGATGTCAGTTTTTTTTTTTTTGCATTACAGCAAAAACAATGCAACTGAGAATTTCGGAGAAAGTGTGTTTAATTGTCACTAATAAAGTCAATGCAAAAAAAAAAAAAAGGTATTCCTTTTCTTAATGCAGTTTATTTTATGTGTTCTTGATGGCTTTTGTGAGATTAACTGATCTACAGAGCCGGTGACATTCAATATCATGCCGATATGTGTATTATCAAAGTCCCTTTCATGAATTTTTCATCTAAATGAATCTCAAAAACTGCATGCTGAACTCACAATTAAATTACATATTTCAAATCAGCAACAAAAACTGAAATGAACTGCCCCATGAATGTTGTTCCTTATGCTCAAACAGCATCAAAAAAGCTTATTTTTCAGGTTTATGTGCAGTCATAAACACGAGTCTCAGGTTTTTATGGGAACCGGAGCTTCTAACAGCAGCTGCAGTGATGCAATAACTTTACCAATCAGCCATTGGCTGTTTTATACAGAAGATGGAACTTTTCTGCCATATTGCACGTTGCAGTTTCTCCTATTCATAAGTAATAGTAATAATATACCTTAAAGGGTTAGTTCACCCAAAAATGAAAATTCTGTCATTAATTACTCACCCTCGTGTTGTTCGAAACCTGTAAGACCTTCGTTCATCTTCAGAACACAAGTGAAAGGAGACATATTATGCCCCTTTTTACAATATGTAATATAAGTCTCAGGTGTCCCCAGAATGTGTCTGTGAAGTTTCAGCTCAAAATACTTCACAGATCATTTATTATATCATTTTGAAAATACTATTTTGAGTGGAAGCAGAAACACGGTGTTTTTTTCGGGCCGGTCTCTTTAAATGCAAATGAGCTGCTGCTCCCCGCCCCCTTTTCCAGAATGGAGCTGCGCCATTACAGCTCGTACCTGCTAAATACATCTGTTTTGGTTCTGATTATCATGTTTATCGCGCTGAAATCATGCGTTTTAAACCATATTAGTTTAAACTTCTG